AAATAGATAGAACTCATAGATAGATAAATAGATAGAACTCATAGATAGAATGAGGTAAAAAGTCTTAATTTTGCTGACAGTTTTATTCTCAGGTTTTCTTGCTGCCAGCAGATGTCCTCCCAGAGCAGACCAGTCAGACCGGGACGCTGATGAATGGAAATCAATCTAAAAGGGCCATTAAATGCATTCAAAAAGTTCATCCAGCAGGAGTTAGTCTTAAACATCTTTATATCTATTTAAATCTTTATTTTCAAACAAAACTCAACAGTGCTTTTAGCTTTAGTCTTAAGAGGAAAGTTTGGTCCATACAGATTTATTTTACTGATTAAGTTTGACCAGTAAAGAAAACTCCTTTAATACCTCGACTGTTAGAGACTCTGAAATAACTTTTAGGAACACGAGAACTCCTGAAGTTACTTTAAACCAGAAAGTTAAACCCACCATAAAGATTTGGTGCTTCCTGAAACAAAAGTGATCTAAAACCTTGACTCCCAGTTTCTGGGATCAGCTCAGAGAAAAAAACATTTGAGTTACATTAAAGAGACTTTCTGCAGAGTCTACTTCAATTAACGCTCCTCTTAGTGAACAAAACATTTATTCATTCATTCAAACATGCATCACGCTGAGGTTTACCATTATTTTTTACCACTTTTAAAGCCAGATAAGTTTAGGTTGAACCCAAATTAACCTCACAACGCGTCAGGCTGGATATGAGTGCTGAATAAAATTTAAAAAAAAGGAAAGAACCAAAAAAAAACAACCCAAAACAAATAGATAACACAGATTAAAAACAGGAGCTTCCCCCTAGTTTTTTCCCCATTGTCATGTGTGGGATAAATCTTTTATCCAAACAAAAACAACCCGAGCATCAGCAGAATCCAACAAAGCCGGACGGTTTGTGTGAGGCTGACCTTTTATTTTCAGGTTAAAGCGCTGAGTCGGCGTGTTGGTTAATCTCCTGTTAGCAACTCGCCGACATCAAACATGAAATATCCTCGTTTACACGGAGGGAAAAGCTGCACCAGCTCTCAAACTGGTTATTAGATTAGTGTCGTCAGGCACACATCAGAAATAATGATAATATATTAAGTATAAATGGATGAAAGCATTACTGTTCTGTGGTGCCATGCAGTTTAAAAGGTGATAAAATGGTGGCGCTTTAAGTAAAAATCCCCATTCAGGAACCATCTGTATATTTGGATTTCAGCACTGAAACAGGAATATTATTGAAGTCGTGCATCAAAAGCCAAGAAAGCAAAGTTTTGGCATGAACATAAAAAGTTGGAATCTTAAAAAAACATCCCTATTTAAGCGGAAAACAGAAAAAAAAAACTGTATAAAATGGTGCTCTGAAATGTATGGCTT